AAGTGGCTGGGGCTGGCCTTGAACTTGTGATCCTCCTGCCCCAGGCTTCTGAATAGCTGGGATTATAGGCATGTGCCTCTGCACCCAACTCTTTCTTTCTTTTTTATGGTGCTGAGGAATGAACCCAGGGCTTTGCACAGGCTAGGCAAGCACTCTGCCACTGAGCTACACCCCCTGCCCATTTTTTTTTAAGGCTGAATAATATTTCACCGTGAATGTATGCCACATTTTCCTGATGTATGCTTAGGTTGCTTCCCTACCTTGGTGATTGAGAATTCTGCCACAAACAAGGTGCAGACGTCTCTTCAACATCCTGCCTTCCTTTCCTTGGGATCCATATCCAAGAGAATGATCATGGGTCATCTGGTCATTCTATTTTTAATTTTTCAAGGATCCTGAGATGGCAACATTGAAGCTGGGAGCTGAAGGATGAGGAAGAGCCGTCACCCAAAGATCCCAACAAAGGCTGGACATCTCCAGCACGGGCAGAGCTAGCCTAAGGGCCTACAGAAGGGGTTCTGTTTAGTGCATGACAAGGCCCAACTGCTAATGTAGTCGGGGAGAGAGAGGGAGGGGAATGACGGATGATGTAATGGGAGGTAAGAAACGCAGCAGCGGAGCTGGATCATGAAGGCATTTTAGGACATGGTAGAGGATCTGGCTTTTGTTCTAAGTGGAAAGGAAAGCAATTAGAGGCCTTTAAGCTGGAAATGACATAATCTGATTTCTGCTTTTGAAAGGATCTTGCTGGATAGAGGAAAGAGCAAAGAAGTAAGATAAAGACGGGAAGTGTGAGCCCCGCTCAGGGCTGCACACCTGTAATCCCAGCTACTTGGGAGGCTCAGGAAGGAGGATGCCAAATTCAAGTCCAGCCTGGGCAATTTAGTGAGACCCTGTAAAGAATAAAACATAAATCAGGCGTGGTAGTGCACATCTGTATGCCCAGCAGCTCAGGAGGCTGAGGAAGGAGGATCACAAATTCTAGACCAGCCTCAGCAATTTAACAAGGCCCTCAGCAACTTTGAGAGAACCTGTCTCAAAATAAAAAGGGGTCTGGGATATAGCTCAGTTGGTAGAGTGCTTGTCTAGCATGCACAAGGCCCTGGGTTCAATCCCCAGCAACACAAAAATATAAAATAAAAAGGGCTGGGGTTGTGGCTCAGTGGTTAAGCACCCTGGGTTCCACCCCCAGTACTACTACTACTAATAAAAATAATCTGCAGGCACTTTGTGTCCTTTTGCAGGTGCTGCAGAGAGGGGCCTCCGAGGCTGTGAGGGAAGATTGCATAATGTCAGACGTGGTGCGAGCAATGAGGAAGGAGGTCAGGCAGGAGAACCAGAGCGTCCGATGCACTTCCAGGTAAGGTGGGTGGGAAAGGCCCCTCTGAGGATGAGGCTTGACCTGGGGCCTCAGTGCCTCCAAGGACAGCCGTCCTGGCAGAGGGAAGGGCGAATTCCGATGCCTGCAGGTGAAGTGTGTGCGGCTCATTCTAGAAGCAGAACAGTGGACACGGTGACTAGAGGAGCGTGAACAGGGAAGAGGAGGAAGGGGCGAGACCTGAGAGCCAGCAGGGTTTGGGGAGTAGGAAAGATACACTGTAGAACAGATCCCAAAGGGTTGGATCACGGATCCTGGCAGGACTGTCCATGAGCAATTGTGTGGCCTGCTGCAAGTTACTGAGGTTACCAATAGCAAGGTCCCCTCACTCATGGCCTTCCTAATGTGGGGTTTCATTGTTCTTTTTTTTCTCTCTCTCATTTTTTTTAAAGAAATACAAGTATGCACAAGTATTCTCTCTCTCTCTCTCTCTCTCTCTCTCTCTCTCGGCCTGATTAAAGGAGATTAAAGGAGATTAGTATTAGTATTGGCAGTGCTATGGGGATTAGTATTATCTGATATCACCATAAAATTCATATGCTGGACCCTAATCTGCAATGTGATAGTGTTAAGAAGTAGGGCCCTTGGTGGGGGGTGGTGAGTAAGTCGCAGTGCCACATACGTCCATCCAGGGTCTATAGGTCGAGGTCATGTGAAGGGCTCATTAGCTCCAACACAGGGCTGGGAGAGGCAGCCCTATGCACTGCCACTGGACAGGCCAGGAACAAAGGTTCCACCTCTCCACACCTGGCTGATTCTCAGGGTGGAGTCTGCCATCAGCAAGCCTGATGGACAAGGAAGTCTCCCCCTGGGACAAAGTGGGTGGGTTCTCCAGACTGTTCTGCTGTGATGCAAACCCTGCTGGCTGGCTGGGCCCCTCTGTGTTGCCCAAGTGAGACTTGGGGACAGGGAAACAGACCCAAACACAATACCCATGCTGCCCACTCGGCTGTGAGCTACGATGTCCCTGTGTGGTCTGCCAGGATCCAGGCAACACGAACAGGAGGCTTCTTAGTACATACAGTACTGTAAAATCCCAGACCTGACCAACACGCCCTCGAGGAAGAGGCTGCTCATCACTCCAAGGTCTCTCTCCCTCTAAATTCCAGACGTGGAGGATTAGGGCCATGGTTCTCCTTCCGGCTTAAGAGCTTGGTGTCTCAAAGGATTTGGAAGGACGTGTGAAGCATAGTAAAATGTTAAGAGAAAGTAACTCTTCTGAGAATCCTTTTATTGCTGTAATGGGACATGCAGATGCATCTTGTAAGAGGAAGAAGCACTCATCTGGAATATTCTGTGAGGCCAATGGGCATATCCAGAGGATTGGGGCCAAGGTGCTCTGGGAGGCAGATGAATTTATTTGGGGGTTTGGCTGCCCACATTCGGAGGGGCTGCTTAGCTGGTAGTCATGGCTAAGAGGATGCTGATTTCTATCTACCTCCACTAAACGTGGGGTCCCAGGAGAAGGGACGGAAGACACGTTGTCTTTATCCTTGGAGCCACACAGAGTTTGGGACATGCTGGAGTGAGTGGATGCTGTGTGGGTGAGGAGACGGTTGAGATAAGGGACTGGAGAAAACGAGGGGAAGGAGAGCGTGCCGGAGGAAGAGGGCAAACAGAGGTGCATGTGAAGGGCATAAAGGGAAAATGTGAGATTTCACTTTCTCATTATTTCATTTATTTAATAATTTTTGTCTTGGAAATCATGAGTCAGCCCTATACCTGTTGGTAGAGTTACCATAAGGAGACAGAAAAATGATCCCTGCTGATGTGGAACTTAGAGTCTGTTGGGGAAAGCAGACATTAATAAAAATTATGCATATAAGTATAGAAGCCTTGTGTAGGAAAGAGACAATAGAGGGTTGATCTGCAGAGTGAGAAGGGTTGGTTGAAGAACCTGTGAGGGAGGAAGGAGAAAGAGGATCCCGGTACAGTCCAGGTCCCAGGCCCTGCATATCTGGGACCCCCACGTGCTGTACTGGGGGTACCAACACAAGTGCTTAGAGAAAAGAAGCATTTCTAATAATTTGGGGGACAGTCTGGGATTTGATGGGTCTCTGCACCCCAGACCCCTTGTGTGCAGGATGGTTCTTCAAGCAAAATGCAATGTATAGTTTCCAAAATTTGTGACACACAATTTCCATGTCACCTCTACATAATGGTGTAGAATCACAGTTTGGGGGGGTGCTGACATTGCTGACATCCTGGCTCAAACTTACCCCTAAGAAGTGGGCTTTGGCCAACCTAGCCCCCCCCACCCCCGCCTCCGCAGGACACACAGGGTGAGATTTCCTGGAATTAGACCACAGCCAGTTACGGGAGGCCCCTCAGCCCTCTGCACAAGGCTGTCTGGCAGGTAGAGTTGGTCATGGAGCGGGCGGGGCCAGCTATGAGGAAGGAGGATGAAATGGAACCAGAGAGCAGGGTGTTGGTCAGGGGCGGAACACTTGCCTAGCACTTGGGGGGCCCTGGGCTCCACCTCCAGCACCACAAAAAAAAGGAAGCAGATTGTGTCTCACTGCCTCTAATTGTTTTAAAATACGTGGGCTGCTTGGTGACTAAGTCACTCAATGCACTAGAGTCCTGGGGTCACTGCCCAGCCTAGGGTCGCACTGGAGACACTGCAGCCATGTGGTCAGACAGGCCTGGAGACCCTGAAACCCGCCTGCCCCCAGTCTCATCTCCAACACCACGTGCTGCCACCTAGGGGCTCAGGGCTGCCTGAAAAATGGGCCGGAAGGACAAGAGGCCTGTCTTTAACCCAGTTGTCACCGAGACCGGGGTCTGGCTTCAACATGCAGTGAAGAGGGGAAAACCTAGGGCGAGCATTGTTAAGGAAATAACTACTGAAATGTCCTTTTGGTATAAATGCAATGAAAACCACACTCAGGCCTGTCACAGTCAAGCTGCCGGTGGCCAACAATAAAGAGAAAACTTTGAAAGCTGGCAGAGCTGGACAAGACAGCCCCTCCGGGAGCAGTGATCTGAAGTACCCCTTATCTCTCACGTGGTGTGGTGTGTGTGTGAGTGTGTGTGTTCCCCCCACCCCCCAGTGCTGGGGATCCAACCCAGGGCTTCAGGCGGGCTGGGTGAGTGCTCTACCACTGAGCTACATCCCCAGCCCATTTTATTTTATTTTGAGACAGAGCCTTGCTAAATTACCCAGACTGGTCTCAAATTTGTGGTTCTCCTGCCTCGGTCTCACAAGTCACTGGGATTATAGGCATGTGTCACGTGCACAGCCCAGATGACATTTTTAATCTGTTGAAAGGTAAAACAAAAATTCAGCCAAGTGAAGTGGCCCATGTCTGTAATCTCAGCCATTCAGGAGGCTGAGAGGCAGGAGGATTGCCAATGTGAGGCCAGCACAGTCATTTATCAAGACCCTATCTCAAAGCTAAAAAAAAGTGGGGGCTGTGGATGTGGCTCAGTGATTAAACAACAACAACAACAACAAACGGTTTCCATCCCTGGAGAGAGAGAGAGAGAGAGAGAGAGAGAGAGAGAGAGAGAGAGAGAGAGAGAGAGAGAAGGGGGGGTGTAATCTGTGACTCATGGAGCCCAAGGAAGGGATGGGCATACTCTGCAGGGTTTGGCAGGAGGCAGAAGGAGACGGAGGAAATAATGCAGGCTGTGGTTTTCATGGGAAGAAATGTGACTGTCAGGGCAAGTAGCTTTGGGATCAGCTGGTTGGAGTGACTTCAGCAGGCTGTGGGACACAGGTAGCCAGGAGTTGTCCTGCGCCTGCCCTGGGGGACAGGGCAGTGAACAACTCTAGATGGCCCAGAGCATGAGAACCTGGTCGAGGAGGCGTCTGGGCGTGCGCTCTGGATTGGCCGGCCCGTGTAGGACAGGCTCCTTCTGCGAAATGTGCCACCTCTAGGAACTGATCATCGCTGGAGGGACGCTCCCTCCAGCAAGAGCAAGGTCTCCAAGGTCAAAGCACCAAGCCTGCAGAATAGAAAGAGTGACTAGTCCCCCCTCCCAGGGGACCCCCACCACGCCCCCAGACACTGTGTTGTCACTGCTGGGGGAGTGATCTAGGCAGGGATCTAGCGAGCAGAGCCAGCAGCACCCAGGAGGGCTCCCCACCAGTTACCTGATCCCAGGGACGACTGTGCCGAGGCCAAGAAGCCCTCGTTTAGAACCAAACTCAAAACCTCATTTCTTTTCTAGATTTACTAGTTTCCTGATTCGGTAGACTTCTTCCTGTGCTGGAACACGGTGGCAAGCTCATTGGGTGCACCTGGGCCCCTCCACCTCTGACATATTTAACTGATGGCTCAAGACCCTTCCTCCCTCTTTTTTTTTTTTTTGTCTTCCTGTTTGTTTACTTATTGATACTGGGAGTTGAACCCAGGGTGCTCTACCACTGTGCTCCAACCCTCTTTATTTTATTTTGAGACAGGGTCTTGCTAAGATGCTGAGGCTGGCCTTAAACTTGTTGGGTTCCTCCTCTGTCAACCTCCTGAGTCCCTGGGATTACGGGTGTGTGCCACCATGCCCAGTTCCTCCTCCTCCTCCTCCTCCTCCTTTTGGTACCAGGGATTGGACCCAGGGGTGCTTACCCTTGAGCCACCTCCCCAACCCTTTTTATTTTTATTTTGAGACAGGGTCTCACTAAGTTGCTTATTGACTCACCAAGTTGCTGAAATTGGCTTTGAACTTGCCTCAGCCTCCCCAGCTGCTGGGGTTACAGGCACGTGCCACCGTGCCTGGCTCCTTTTCTTTTTGATCATGTTGATGGTCGTGGTGGTGTTGGTGATGATGATTATGGTACTAGAGATTAAACCAGAAGCAGTTTACCTCTGAGTTACCTCCCCAACCCCTTTATAAAATTTTATTTTGAGTCAGAGTCTCATTAAATTACTAGAGCCTCAAACTTGCAATCCTCCCACCTCAGCCTCCCCAGTGACTGGGATTGCAGGTGTGCACTGACCTGTTTGGCTCCCATCCTTATTTCTTAAATAAAGAAGTGAGTGAGGGCTGGGGTGTGTAGCTCAGTGGTAGAGTGCTTGTTAGCATGCTTGAGGGCCTGGGTTCTGTTCCCAGCACTGAAAACAAAAACAAAACAAACAAACAAAAACAGATGGCTGTCCTGTCCTGAGTGCCAGTTTTATCTGGTGGCACTGCAAACATTCCAGCTACTTTCACAGAGCTGAACCACATCGGCAAATACACTTTGCTGAATGCAGTTCGCTGAAGTATTTGTCATAGGATCACCCCTAAGGATCTTATGGTGGAGGAGCACCTACCTAGCATGTGTGAGGCCTGGTTCAGTCCCCACCACCATTGAAAGGAACAAAGGGATCTTAACACCTGAGACCATACCAGTTTCCACGGCTGCCGTGACCTTCCTGTGACCCGGCTTGGCCCTGTGCTGGTCACCACTGGCTTATAGCACTTATGAGGAATTTTTTCTTTCCCTCCAAGAACAATGGCGTGCTTTAGTTTGCATTTTGGGTGCTCTGTTAGGTTATCTGAACTCCTCTGCCTGAGCACCTCTGTGTTTCTGGGGCCCTGCTCGCTCAGGGGCCTCCTGCTTGCCCTCCTCCCGCTGCGAGGTGAGTCATTTCATTTAAGGAGTTAAGGCTTCTCAACTTCATTTCCTTCCCCTTTTCAGTCTCCGTTCTGGTCTCCAGTTCCCTCTGTGGACGCTTGAAATCCTTTGCGGTCAGTCAGTGGCCGGCCAGCCCTGGCTTGGCCCTCCAAGACAGACGTCAGAAGCCAGTCTAGAAAACTCACACAGGGACACTTCTCCTTGTCCTCCAAGAACATAATTCCAATTTGGACGATCACCATCCACAAAAGGCCCAGTGGAAGAAAAATGTGTTTTTCTCTAATTGACTGCTGGGTATTTAGTCTGCAGATTACAAGTGTTCATGATTTTCAGTGGCTGTGAACGAGGGGGAAGTCACTTGCCCAGACAGAGCCCTGTAACTTGAGCCACAGTTTGCTCATATGCAAAATCACCTCCTGCCCTCCGTGGTGCGCTCACTAACTTTCCCAAGTATATGTGTATGTGGGGCTAGGACGGTGCTGCCAGCTCTGGCCCCAAGAGTGTTGTGTCCCAGCCTGGACTCCTGCACCAGCTGATTGGCTCTCCCGGCAGTGTGGCTGGGGCTCTGTCCCTGTGAATCCTGGACAAAGAACAAGCCACAGTCTGGGGATCCAGCTCAGAGGTAGAGGGTCTGCCTAGCACATGTGAGGCCACGGGTTACCTCCTCAGAACTGAAAAACAAAACCCACACTCCCATTTAGACAAGAGGGTCTGACACTTAAGAAAGTCTAGAAGCCAAGCACACTGGTGCCCACCTGTAATCCCACTGACCCAGGAGGGTGAGGTAGGAAGATCGCAAGTGTGAGGCCAGCCTCAGCCATTTAGTGAGGCCCTAAGAACCTTAGTGAGACCCTGTCTCAGAATAAAAAATAAAAACGGCTGGTGATGTAGCTCAACATTGAAGACCTCTGGGTTCAACTCCAGGTACCAAAAAAAAAAAAAAGTCTGGAATATACATTTATAGCAATTAACTATTGTTTTTGTTTATATTGGGTTCCAATAATATGAACTTTTATTTATGTATTTATTTTTGTTTAGCCACTTTTCCTATCTATAGAAACCACAAAAATTCTGATTAATTTAGAGAGGAAGGTGGAGTATGAATCCTAGGTCAGGGAAAATAGTAACATAGCATGAGTTCATAGCCCAGGGTTTGCTATTTTACATGAATTAAGTCTTTCATGAAGTTATATCATCTTTCCTGTTTCTTTCTTTCTTTCCTTCATTCTATCATTTCATATATATATATATATATATATATATATATATATATATATATATATTGTTTGTTTGTTTGTGTTTTTTTGGTACTGGAGATTTAACCAAGGGATCCTTAACCACTTAGCCACATTTCCATCCCCTCTTAAAAATATTTTATTTACAAGGGCTGGGGTTGTGGCTCAGTTGTAGAGTGCTCGCCTAGCACGTGCAAGGCCCTGGGTTCGATCCTCAGCACCACATAAAAATAAAAAAAATAAGAGTATTGTCCACAACTAAAAATATTTTATTTACAGGCAAGTTTTCACTAAGTTGCTTAAGGACTCCCTAAATTGCTGAGGCTGACTTTGAACTTGCAATCTTCCTTCCTCAGCCTCCTGAGCAACAGGGATTACAGGCCTGCACACCATGCCCAGAATTTTTTATTATCTTTGAAACGAGTTGTCTTGTGATTGATGGCATGTTGTGTTGGTGTCAGCCAGGGGTGGCCATACTGCCTTTGTCTCACTGCCTCATGCCTGAGTGAACTTGCTCAGAGCTGCTCATTATCTTGCATTGTAGACATGACACCTAATTGAATACTTTAAAAAATATTTTAAATTTTTAATTGATTATAATAATTTTACATATTCATGGGGTACAGTGTGACATTTCAATACACAACATGTAATGATCAGATCAGGGTAATATGTATATTCACCCCCTCAACCATTACCATTTCCTTATGCTGGGAACATTCCAAATCCTCTCTACTAAACTATTCTGAAATGTTTCAATTAAGTATTGTCAACCATAGTTACCCTACTGTGCTATAGATGTTTAGAAGTTATTCCTCCTGGGCTGAGGTGTAGCTCAGTGGAAGAGCATGCATTTAGCAAGGCCCTGTGTTCAATCCCCAGCACTGCAAAACACAACAAGAAGTTATTCCTTCTATCCAACTGCACACTCCCATACTTGTTAACCACCCTCTCCATCCCCCACTACCCAACCCCACCTAAGGAAATTTAATTTCTGTATAACAATGTTTTCCAACAGACTATAATGTACACTACATGTATAATTTTAAAAGTTCTGGGAATCATCAAGTAGAAAGAAACTGATGAAAATAATTTTAATAATGTATTTTACTTAAAATCCAAAATATTACCTTTTTTTTTTCTTGGTGGAACTGGAATTGAACCCAGTTCAATTGTATGCTAGGCAACTGCTCTTCCATTGAACTACATCCCTAGCCTTTTTTATTTTATTTTATTTTTAGTTTGAGGTAGGATCTCTCTAAGTGGTCCAGGCTGACCTTGAACTTGGGAGTCTTCTGCCTTAGCCTCCTGATTAGCTAGGGATTACACACACAGGATTACTCCTGCCACTCTGCCCAGATAGAATATTATAATTTCAATATCTAACAGATACAAGAATGTATTAATGAAACTTGTCACTTTTTTCATACCAACTCTTTGAAATCAGGGGTGTATTTTGCACTCAGAGAATATCTTCATTCAGACTTGCCGCAGTTCAAGTGCTCAATAGCTACTTGTGGTTGGTGGCTATTGTATAGGATTACTGGGGTTGGAAAAATGGTAGCCTTGAAACCCGAATGTACTCAGATCAGGCTTAAGGCTCTGTGCAAGTGCTCTTCTGCTAAAACATAATTTATTTCACCTTCTTCATATGGAACAACTCTATTTAATAAACACCTGGTCCTTTCCCCCATACATATCAGTCCACTGTCGTTGCTCCTCCAAGCTGGATTTTCCCTCCCTGCTCTGTGCTGTACTCCTCTCTGTTCCTCAACTCTTTTCCCAGGACCATGGCCCCATCTTCTTTCTCCATCTGCATGATGCTTTTAGCCCACACCCCCATATTTTTTCCTACTCCCTAGCTGACTTTCTATCCAACAGACTTTTATACCCAGCTGTGTGGTCCCAACATATCTACTTTCTTCTTCCCTGGGAAGCTCCCTCCCTCACTAGCCACATTTCTCTTTACCAAACCAGATGCTCTTCCTCTCACAACCTCTCCCTTTTCTGCCTCTGTTACTTGCTCTTTGCCTACCCCCCATTTCTCCTGGAACTAGCTCCTTCTCTCTTGTGAACTCTGTGTCTTTCCTTTTGCATGCTTACTCTCTCCCATACTCTGCACTCTTTCCTCCAAGACTTATTATCTACACACTCTCTTTGCCCCCTTTCTGCCAGACCTCATGTAAGAAAAATGGAATCAAGGGGCTGGGGTTGTGGTTCAGTGGTAGAGCACTTGCCTAGCATGTGTGAGGCACTGGGTTCAATTCTCAGCACCACATATAAATAAATGAATAAAATAAAAGTCCATCAACAACTAAAAAAATATTAAAAGAAAGAAAGAAAAATGGAATCAATCAGGCTCCCTCGCCAAGGAAGCAATGACTAAGATGTCCTATGTAAGTCGGGAACAATGAGCATGCTCATTCTTATAAACCACACATCACATTTGGCATGCAGCTGGCTCGTTGTAATTCTGTATATAAGCTGAGCAGGGGCTTTCTGCAGCATGGATTGAATGAAGATATGTCAGACCTCCCTGCAGCTCTGCATGTCTTCTGTAGACATATATAGACTACCTCATCCATCAATGATGGAATACACTTTCATCCCAGCTGCACACGGATCCTTCTCTAACACAGACCATGTTGTGTAAGCTATCACATATGTTGGCATGCAATTGTAATATTACCTTAAAAGATTTTTTGGCACCTGTAGGGTCATTTTGATGGCTCCCTTTCCATTGATATTAATTTTTTAATTCTTGCTTTTTTCTTGATTAGACTTATTTATTTTTAAATCAAACTTTAGCTATATTATTTTTCTCTATTTTATATATTTCTGCCCCTGCTCTTACTTTTTCCTTCCTACTACATAATCTGAAAATAACTTGATTGTTATTCTAGCTTCTTTCTGATACAAAGACTCTAAGTTGCAAATATTCATCTGAGTACTGTTTCATACCAGAGATCCTGATTTTAACCTTTTGTTATCACTTAGTTTGAAGCATTTTTTATTTGCTTTTACTGTGCTTTCTTCCTTGACCTCTGAGATATTTATGTGTGCCATTTAATTTTGAAGTAGTTGACATGTGGAGGTGAGGTTCTATATAACTTAAGGTGATTGATTTCTAATGTAATAACTCATTTGGAAAACACAGTCTGCACAATTTCAATTTTTTAAAAAAGTAATGGAAATGCTTTTATTTTAATTGTATTGGTTACTTACATGTAAAAACTGATCAAATTGCATACTTCAAATATGTGCATTTTATTGTGCTTCAATTTTACCTCAATAAAACTATGAAAAAAATGTAAACAAATAAAGTACACAGGGGTCAAGCTAATATTCTCTGTATCGTTCCAATTTTATTTTATGTCATAAATAAATACTGAAAAGCCAAAAAATATAAGTAAATAAAGTGCAAGCCAGGTGGACATCCTCCAAGGCTTATGGAGGAGGGCTTCGCTGTGTGTCTGTGCTATAACTAACGGCAGTGGTGGGGGCGTGGGGGATCCCTAGTGCTTCACTGCCACCACCAGACACATTGCCAACAACAAGCAATGTCAACTTGCAAGGCATGGAGAGAGACTGTGGCCGTGGCAGAGCTGGAAGGGCGGGCACAGTGCCACCGGCCCGTAGTTCCTTCAGCTCCCCAGTGTGGACAGTGAAGAAACCGGATAGATCCTGGGGAACAACTGTGGACTATTGTGGGCTTAGTAAAGTGGCTCCCCCAGGTCAGGCTGCCGTTCCTTGAGTGGCTGACCTGAGGGACGTATTGACTGACGACTTACGGGCATCCATTTTGATTTAGCTAATGCCTTCTCTCCCACAGATATCGCTGTTGGTGGCCAAGACCAATTTTCTTTCATGTGGGATGGGTGGCAGTGCACCATTCCCTTGCTGCCTCGGGGATATTTGCATAGACCATCTATGTACCTTGGTCCAGGAGCCTCTGACTTGGCCATGGCCAAAGCCATCCCCTGTGTGTCTATTCCACTATAATTGGGGATCGTTTGTTACCAGTGGTTCCTTTGCAGATTTAGTGGATGCTGTGCTGAAATTGCTAGTCCATCTGGCAACATGTGGTCTGTCTATCAATAGCAACAAGTTGCAAGGACCTGGATTGTCTGCCAGTTTCTTGGGGGTTGTCCTGCCAGAGAAGGCAAAAGTTATTCCCAATGCAGTTATTGATAGGTTCCAGGCCTACCGCATTTCCACAACCATAAAGCAATTACAAACCCTTTAGGGATTGTCAGGGTATTGGAGAGTGTTTTTTCCCTCTCTGGCCCAAATGATACAGACTCTTCTGCCCTAGTAAAGAAGGGAGAAAAGTGGGACCGGGCTACAGGAAGTGACCAGGCATTCAAGGGAGCCAAGCAGACTGTGCAGAGCGCCCAGGGTCCCCTGTTGTCATCCAACAACCTCTGCCTGGACTTGGAGCATGCTGACCCTCAATGGAACTATACAAGGAGTCATATATTTGCAGGTGGACAACAGTGGGCAACTCTGTCATGACCCTCTAGAGTTATTCAGTGTGGGATGGTGTAAGATGGCTCCCTACTGAAGCTGTAGACTTAACCAAAAGGCACCCCAGTGTGACAATAGGGGGGCAGGAGGATCTATGGGGTGGACCCTGCACGTCTTATGCACTATAACAGTTAAAGGTTCTAACACTGGGAGTCATGAAATGGTAGCTCTGCCTACCCCTTGCCCCTGGGATATTTATGGGTATGTGGACAATGTGGGTAACCATATTTACCTACCAAGTGGACTGGTCCATGCACTGGGGGAAGGCCATATCTCCCAGCAAAGTTTTCAAATTCTTATCCAAGTGTCTATCCAGTTGGGACATGAAGTAGTCAGGGCTCTCCAGAGGAACAGTATCAACAGGAAGTATAATTATAAAAAGGGGATTTATTAGGCTGGCTTACCTGACCAGAAGCTGGATAGTCCGCAATGGCCATCTGCAGTCTGGACAGCTGGAAGAACCAATAGCTGAAGCCCCAGACAAGAGGAATTAAAGGTGCTACCTGAGTCTGAGACTGAAGGCTTCTGGAGAATCGCTGGCAGAGTCTGGTTTGTAAAAATGAAGAAGTGAGACTCTGATAACCTCAGAGGATCACAGCAGCAACCAAGAGCCTCCTCAAGAAGAAGGGAGCTTGCATCTGCTGCTGCTTCCTTGTTCTTCCAACTTTTATTCCATCCAAGCCATCATCCTATTGGACGGTGCTGCCCATGCTTAGGTGGGTCTCCATTTCAGTTGGCTCTCCCACCTGCCAATCATTCCTGGACACACCCTCACTGACACACCCATAAGCCTCTTAATCATCAGCATATCTCAATCCAAGCAAGTTGACAATTCAAATTAAACCTTACGGGACACTTTCAAGAGAAGGCTTTGCGTGAAGTGCACTCCACAGTGGTACTACCCTTTAGCCTTGCTTTCACCGCAAGTGGCCACCATTGTTCATGAGGTGGAGATTACAGCTCTGGCACTGCACACAGCCAGAGCCCTCAATGCCACTGTGAGTCCTTTGCCTTCTTAAATGAAGAAGTGTACCAAATGAAGAAAGCAGGACAGGGAAATAGGATGGCCCTTGACACACTGACCACCTCCCAAGGTGGAGTATGCACCCTCTTGATACTGTACCCATGGACCAGAGTGTCCCTGAACTCCTACCTGATAGTGGTGCATGCCTATAATCCCAGTTACTGGAGAGGCTGAGGCAGGAGGACCACACGTTCAAGACCAGCCTCAGCAACTTAGCAAGGTCCTAAGCAACTTAGTGAGACCCTGTCTCACAACAAAAAATCAAAAGTTCTGGGGATATGGCTTAGGGGTTAAGCACCCTGGGTGCAATCCCTGCTACCAAAAAACAAACAAACAAAAAAGCATGCACGTTCTTTTTCTTTCTTTTTTTTTTTTAAGTAGTTGTGGATGGACCTTTATTTTATTTATTTACTCACACGCGGTACTGAGAATTGAATCTCGTGCCTCACATGTGCTCTATGACTGCGGCACAACCCAGCCCCAGAGCATGCACATTCTTATAAAACCACAGGATACATCTGGCGTGCTGCTGGCTTTGCTGTGACCCGGTATATAAAGCTGAGTGAGACTTTGAGCTGTGCGATGGCCACCCACTGAATAAGGTCACGTGGGGGCTCCTTACAGCCTGGCGAATCTCCTTGGGGCTGCCCGGATCTGGGTCAACCTGTCTGGGATAGAGGATGCACCACACCTGGAGCCCTCTGCTCTTGCTCCCTTACAGCCGTCCCCCGTCCCCAGTCTTCCCACTCCTCCTGCCACCTCTAGGCTCCATTGCTTCCCCGCCAGGCCTCGCCCTTACTCCCCCTCTTCTCTCAGTGGAGCCTGATCATGCTCTCTTCTTGGGGAAAAGCAAACAAAGGAAGGAAAAAAAAAAGACTTTTCACAAAACTTGAGCCCCCAAACAAGTTCCCATGAGCCATGTTTGAAGAAGTGGAGTCAATCAGTCCCTTCAGGAGGAGGGTCCCTGAGGGAGGGTCCTGAGGCCTGACCCTCTCCCACTTGGAGTCCCTGGAGGGAGGAGGAGTTGGGAGACCAGCGAGGGGGAAACAACTCCCCAGGTTGACATTTGGGTGTGGCCTGGAATGGCGTGGCCTCCGGAGAACAAGACAGCTCAGTCTTGAACGAGGACCTCAAATACCGAGTGCTCTTCTCGCTGTGCTCACTCGGGGTCCCTCTGGCCCCCACATTCTCCTGGTCTTCCGCCTCATTCGCCTTGGTTTATCCTCCCTCTGCTTGGCTCTCTGGCTCCCCCTTGCTTGGTCTGCACCTCATCCATCTACTCCCAGGGTTTCCCTGCCTTTCTCTTTTCTTTCTGTGTCTGTCTGTCTGACCTGGTGTGTCTCCTTCTTCTCTGGGGCCTTTCCGCATCTCTGTCACTTGGCTGTTTACCTAGTGAGCTGCTCCTTTTGACCATCTCACACCATGTTCCTCTCTGGAAAAATTATAGAATCAGACCCTCCCTGATACAGGAGGCTGTGTAAATTCCAGGTGAGACACTGGGGATACGGGGGCCCCCTTCGTGCCATCTCCAGGAGCCTGGGGCCCAGCAGGAGGGAGCCACTGACGTTGGAGGAGGAGCAGAGCTGGTGAAGCCCTCCCTGAGTCAGGGGGTGAGAGGGCGGTGGGTGGCGATTCCTCTCCTGCAGGTTTTGAGAGATTGCTCGGTTGTCCTGGCCTGAGGAGGTGGGAGGCAGCCAGGTTTCCTGCAGGGCCAGGGTCACAGATTTGGAAGATGAACCTTTAGCTGGACAGAGCCCACGCTGGGAGTGAACTGTGCCGGCCGACAGAGGAAATGAGCTTGTTTTCACAGCCCCGCTGCTCACCTGGCATGTTCTAGGTGTCGTGCGGGTCCTGCAGCAGTGATGGACACGCCAGAGCAGGTGTTAGTCTCCTCTGAGAGGGGAACACTGAGGCATAGACGGGAAGCCACCTCTGCAGGCCCCATACCTGATGCCTGGCCGCACCAGGGCTCCAACCTGGACCCGCCTGTTCCCTCAGTTCTGGCTGAGGAGGATCCCTCCCGGGGTTTGCTTGTGTTTTCCCTGGAGGTGATGGGGTAAATCCTTTCAAGGACTCTGGGGAATTCAGGGTGTCTGAGCCTGGTCCCAACTTCACATTTCCTCTGCAGCCTTATTTCATTAACCAATTCATCCAATGATTCGTTTTCTCACATTCATCATCTATCTGATTTTTATTCACTATTCGGAGAACTCGTTACTCATTTGTTCAATAATTATCATTTATTAGCTGAGTAGCTGTGATTGTCGGGCTCTGTGCTGGGGCATAGCCAGGGGCATAATGAGGAGTTGGAGAAGTCCTGACCTCCTGGTGACAATAAGGCCCATGTATATGCAGTGCGTATGCCTATATACACACATTCATTTACATCTGTGCATATATGCTTGTGATGGGTAGGCTAGATAGCTATCGTACACATACATACATTCACTGGTACACACATATGCATTCAATACAAAGTGATCTGTATTTTTTTCTCTGTGGATTGGAGAGTATATTGTGTGTAGAACATAGATAATATATGATTATATGAATATTATATATGATAAATGATTATAGAATTATAGGATGAAATGCACATTAAAAAATTCAGCTTATCTTAGCAGTGGGAATGGCTGTTCATCAAATCCAGTTTTTGTTTCTAAAACACACATTGACACCTTGTGAGCAGATCCTCAGCCAGGGGCTGTGTTTCCAGCCCCTTTGCAGGCAGGTGTGACCCTGTGACAGTTGCGTTCACTGGAGTGTTGGTGGGAATGATGGGCACTGCTGCCAACATCGTACCCCTGCAGCTGGAGGCACAGATGGCAGGAGCCTGTGTCTCTACCCACCTCAGGGAAGGCAGAGATGCCAGGCACCCCTGGGCCTTCTGGGAGTGAGCCCGGCCTGGCGCAGGTGCACAGCAGCCGCTCAGAAGGCGGTGGGGATCTCAGTTTCCTGCTGACCCGCCTCTTCGCACACAACAAATAAACCCACTCAGAAGCAGCTGCCGTATTCTACTTTCTAAATGTATGGATCGTCTCCTTCCAAGTCTTCAAACTTTGTAAGAGGGAAGAAGTCCGTTTGAAAGGCAGTCTCCAATGAGAAGTCGTTAGATTATCATTAGGTCAACAGGTTCAACTCCCCACTGAGGTTTTCTAACTTTGCTACGAACACGAATAAAGCCAGCTGGGGACATAGCTCCTTTTCAACCTATTTGTGAAGCCATCAAGATATGGAGCAGTCCTCCACAAGTATATTTTTCTTTCTTTCTTTTTTTTTTTTTTTTTTTTGGTGGTGCTGGGGATTGAACCCAGGGCCTTTTGCATCCAAGACAAACACTCTACCAACTGAGCTATATCCCCAGCCCCCTAACAAGTATATTTTTCAAGGCATCATCTCTAAGATATAAAAAATATTATTCTATTATTTCAGGAAAGTGTTGTCTGATTTTTATGGAATCTTATGAATTTATGTCTATACCTCAGTAATCGAAGGCAACTTGTCTTTTTGGTCTAACTTGTTTACTGTCTCATTCTGAACTTCTATTTGTTACTCAAGGCTGACGAAGCCAAATTTTGAGTATAAAAGCTTTTTGTTTTAGAACACATTTGAAGAATGGCCTGAGAATAGAATTACAAAGACACAAATTCCTTCTTGAAAGCTGATTTTTTAGCTTAAGCCAGCATGGTGGCACATACCTGTAACTGCAGCTACTTGGGAAGCTAAGGCAAGTTCATGGCCTGCCTCAGCTATTTAGTGAGCTCCTGCCTCCAGATAAAAAGGGTGAAGGATGTAGCTCAGTAGTCCAATGCTTACCTAGCATGTGAGAGGGCCTGACTTCCAACCCCTGAACTGCAAAACACACACACATACACACACACACAAACTAGCTCAGTGACTATCAATTAGTACAGACTGAATAAATATCAATGATTTTATGACTGTGTTCATATTGGGGACATCTTTCTCCTTCTTTCAGGTACCCAGAGCATCCAACACTTAGTGCTGTGAGGGGATGCAGAGTCCCCTGTCCGCCACTGGCTCCCCCTGTTTGGGCAGGAACTATGGGCCTTCACTCCCTATCAGCCATCCCCCACTGGTCCCTTGCTTTCTGATTCCAGCCCAGGATCCTTAGCTCGCTGGTCCAGGAGGAGGCCAGCTCCTCTCTGCTCTCTGTTCTCTCCCAAGCCTAATTAAACTGTTGTCCACGCAGGTGGTCCTGGAGTTGGCTCACTCAGGTAGAGACAGATGGACACTTGGTTTAGCCAGAGGCTACCGCAGGTGAATGTGCTCAGAAGGGGGACACAGACGACTCCGATGGAGGAGAAGAAGGGACAACTGTAGAGATCAGCTGGGGTCCCATCCTGAAGGGCCTGGAATGGCAAGCTGGGAAGCTGGGACTTGATCCTCAGGGATATGGGGAGCCAAGGAAGAGCTCTGAGCAGAGGAGAGACAGGCTCAGCTCTGAGAGTTAGAGATCTCCCTGAGGTTGATGTGCAAGATGCAATGGAAGGGTGACAGTGGACACCATGAGACCAGGACACTGGAGAAATGGGCCAGACCTTGGCTGTCCAATGTGGCGAGCATGAGGCACATGTGCTGTT